TAATAAATAAGAAAACAGAGGGAAGAAAAGCTGCAATAATAAAATTAATCACTGTAAAGAGGTGACTCAAACATTAACAACAATAAACAAGAAAAAAACAAAAAAAGAAGCTAACCAGTTTTGATCCTGGCTCTTCAGAGCCAATCAAAGATAAACATATGATTTTGTGTACACAACATTAAAATAAACAACAATAAATTATGAATAACTAGAGAATTAGCAAATGAGAAAAAATATAATTACAATGATTACATTAAGGCCCAGCAGCCATGAAGGAATGGCTGATTGGCCTTAATGTAATTGGAGTGTGATTATATTTTTTTTTCATATTTATTGCTGTATACAATTATATACAATTTCAATATATCTATTTTCATAGAATACACATACGCACACACGTGAATATATATATATATATATATATATATTACTTTCAGGAGGCATGGTGGAGTAGGGGATAGCGGCTCAGACTGAGGAATCAGAGAGCTGAGTTTGAATTCCAGTTGAATCCATTACATTCACTTACGTGCTAATACCCTTGGGAAAGGTGTGAATCCTCTTCTCCCTCCAGCTATGGGTAAATAGCAGGACAGACTGGGTTCTATAGCCTTGGATGGCAACTCGTCTAGAAGGACAACTCTGAATTCAAAACCTGCAGAGAGTTGTTTGGAAATCTTGTGGCACATAGTGCACCAAGTCTCTCTATTCGGCCCTTCAAAAACTGGTTGGTTCTGCACAAAGTTTTCACCACTACAATCAAATCATATGTGCTGGTGTCTGGGCTGTCAGTTCCTAGGAACTGAGCTTCTTGACCCTTGTATGTTGAATTCTGATGGGAGAGTCCACCATACTGTTTTCAAAAGTGATGGATTTTTATTTATCAATCTGACAGATTTTTTATCACTTTAAATGTTATTTTTACTGAAAACTCACATTTGAGTAGATGTTTCATTTAGTTATTAAACAATATATTTATTTATTTTTGTCTACTGCCCTGAATATTCGAGAATTTTTATTAAAGAAAAATATGCACTCTCTGGACAAGAAGGATTTTGCTTAAAGGTACTGTTCAAACTTTGCTTAATCAGCAAGGCTGCTTTAAGTTGGTTAAGGCACAACAGATTTAATGATGGATGCAGGACCGAGCAGTGTTGAAAGGGATTGTTAATGGAGTTCCGACCAACCACAGAGAGGTCGCAGGATGATGATGATATGTTTTTATTTGATACATATGAGAGTTATCTGTAAGATATAGACGACAGAGAAAGATTATATATATATATATATATATATATATATATATATATATATATATATATATATATATATATATATATATATATGCCCACTGAGAAAGATTGATAGAAATAGACTAATATATTGTTAACTAAATCAATAGATAAGAGCATGTGATAGATAGAATAAATAGATAAGAACACACTAATATATATATATATATATATATATATATATATATATATAAAAGTGAACATTGAAGTCAACACTCAGAGGCAACAGACAGTTTCATGCTAGATGCAAATCATCAGGCCATGAAACAATCTGTTGCCTCTGAGTGTTGACTTCAATGTTCACTTTTATATTTACATATGCTCTATCTATGATATTGAGCACTTTATCCCATAATTGTAGCACACCTTAAAACTATATTTCTTCATATGTGTATATATATATATATATATATATATATATATATATAATATATATAATATATATATATATATATATATATATATATATATATATATATATATATATATATATATATATATATATATATATATAAAAATGATCAGACTGAGGTAGGTAGATAGAAATAAAATATCCTTACAAATCTAACATGACTGAAGATAGGAGAGGGAAAACTGATTTGAATTCTAGAAACATGAACATGAGCTATACTGTGCTGCATTCAAATTATGTAGAACTGGGAGGTTACCTTGTCAGTGGCAGATGACAAGGTTCTTTTTTCAGGATGTGTTGTATAGTTTTACTTTATTGATTTTAATCTATCACCTTTATCAAGTACTTTAGAGTAATTTAGCTTACTAAATTAAGGTATGTAAAGTGTTTGTAAAAATTGCACACAGTAAATATAAAGACCTTACAACAATAAAAACAGACTTAACAGAAAACATGTAAGTGATATAGTATTTTGTCTTTGTAATGATTGATTAAAATCTCAATTGAAATTGATGTGCATGCCATTTGATGAATTCTAGCAAATCTTTTTTAAGCAACAAGTGGTAAGAATAATCTCTTAATTGGTAGGTGAGTAAAATACTGCATAAAGAACAAGGAAAACAATAAAAGAGATAAGCAGGTGAGACTTAGTTTTTTTTTTTTCTTCCATGAAGAGAAATAACAAGCAAAGATCTGAACAGTCGTTAAAAAAGCTATGTATTGGCAGAAGGTGGGCTCAAATGAAGTGTTTTAGAAGGGATGAATTGGAACCTGATTGGTTGGGACTACTAACTTAAGGCTTAAGCTTACCGGATTTGGGGTTTAAAGGTAGAAATGTACGCAAGAGTCGTTATCGTACCATAAGAACAGGAGCATGACCACAGATAGTTTTTTTTTTCTCCTCAGTGTATGTAATGTACACGGAAACTTTAAAAGCAAGTAACAGAGCCAAAAGGAAAAAAAAACGTTTTACAGTGTAACCCGGATATAAGAGAGTTGTCGGGACCGGAGAAGAAGTTTCTTATATCCGGGTTTCTCTTATATCCGGGTTTGGTCTATTTTGTTTAGGTAAGTATGGGAACACTTTGGGACCAGAGAAAATCTCTCTTATATCCGGGTTACACTGTACTTTCTTAACAGAACACAACTTTAAGAACAAAAAACAAAATAAAACAATACATTTTTTAATTGTTCAATTTATTTATTTTTCTTTTTACAATATTCATGAAAGACTTTTTAAAAAGAGTTGTATGCGTTGTAAAAAAAAAAACTCATTTAAACTAGCATTTTTAATTTTAACCAAACGTGAAGTCCGAAGTCGGTTAATAAAATGTTTAACTACTTAAATTCAGAAGCTGAAATAGCTGCTCGTAAAGTTCACATCGGGGGCTACATAATTCTTCTACCATATCGACGTGAGTTTTCTTATCTCTCTTAAAAATACACCCGTGTTAGTGATGGTGAGGTTTAAGAAAAATGGTACATTATTGCTATTGCTGTAGTTTTGTTTTATCCGTAATCAGTGTCTCATTTTCAGGGCCCTGTGTCAGACTAAAAATACAAACACACAACCACTAGCATTCCCGATGAGTGCGTGTACACTACAGTTACAGTACACTAACACTAAAAACATGGTACCACCCAGACGAGACAAACACTCATGGTTTTAAACACCAAACAGGAACATAAGCCAGCTCTTCTGAGTGAATATATAGCTCAACAATCAAGTGCTTCGTCGTTCTACCACTTCAACTATTTTATTATTTTTATTCAAAACAATTCCGAACTCCAAAAGAATAAAGAAGGCGTTAACGGTTAAAAAAGTGTGAACGAGAACCACTTTCCATTTCGTGTATCCAACCAACATGAACACAACTCTGCTCTTTCTTCCACATGTACAGTTGTACACATCACCCACTTAGTCAATTTAAAATTTAAATAAAAAACAGACAAAACTAGAGATTGATACGGACTTTTTGAACAAGAAATCTGTACAATCAACGCAACAATTTTCAACTTATTCTTCTTATTATCTTACTTCAACCTAGGCAAAAGTAATAAAGGTGGTGGTAGCGGCCAAGATTTTCTTCCTGTCGCCAGAGCAAATTTCATGGAGGGTTAGGCTCATGATCGATTCCCGATGCATCAACTAATAATCGTCGAAATCGGCTATTTAATTTGAGTATTCAAATCTTTTCCCTCCCCTTTATCGATTTATCTGCCCACTACTTAAAACAGCTTGATCTTGAGAATTTATTTTAAAAACTAATGAGTGCACTCATGCGCACGTGAACACTAAACACACAATCTACCTGTAGTGTGTGTGAATGAACACAGGGTTTTAGAGAGGATTAATATTTTGTCCATATTCTCTTTTTTTTTTTTTTCAAAATTCCATCATAAAGTGATACAGTGTACGTAGTTTGTGAAGAATAAAAAACATGACATTGTATTCACAATTCACTCAGTCAATGACTTAGTTCAAAATCCTACAATGGTCATAAAATTCTTTTTAAAAAAATTTCTTAAACCATATCCCATTGGTTTGAGTGATAATTATTAAAAATTGATAAACTGTGCCGGCAGATGACAAGTTTTGCTCATGTGCTTCAAATGCATAGATGTAGTAGTAAACTGAAACAAGGAGAAAAAGAAAAGATCTGATTGGTCAGTTTATTTGGACATTTCTTTTCTTTTCTTTTTTTGAGTCATGAAGTAGCTGGATACAAATTCATTTTAAATGAAAACTATTAATTAATTTTGTCACAATGACAAAATGGTCGCTGTCATCATGGTTATAAAAAAGAAAAAGTAATTTATTTGGACAATCGCATCAAATTGAATTGTTGAACGAAATTTATCTTTTCTTACGTTTCCCTCTATATTTTTCCTTTATTGTTTTTGAACAAAAAACATGTTCGAAATACGAAATTTTAGTTTTTGTTTTATTATTACTGACTGTATATTTGTACGGCGTACACTACATTATTAACTATTAAGTATATGCATTTTATTCGTTTTATTTACGATGTCACAAATTTCTTTTATTCAAATGGACATGAAAAAAAATGAAATTTTAAAGAAAGGGAAGATCTTTGCCAAATTTCGTTTTTCGTTTATTACTCTAGTTCAGATATTTTATTTAGTTCTTTCTCCTCCTACTTCGATTATTGCTGACGGAAGTGGAGATAGCTGGAGCAGTGCTGTGCGCATGCGTGCGACTCAATATGGCTGCTAGCTGTAGCAGCGACCGCGAGGGTTGCATTATTTGAAGCAAATCGCGCACTACACGAGCGAAGATGAGCAAATCAAGACGCAAAGTTACTGTAGACACAGCAAAATCAGTTTCTGATGACAGCGAAAAAAGGAAACCAAGCGTTTTCGAGAGATTAGGACCAGGCGGCGGTCAAAGGAAGTATGATTATGAAGCTGAGGTAAATATGGCGCCTTATTTGTATCATTCTCTCCCTCACTTCCTCCTTTTAAATTCTCTTACCCCCCCACTCACTCACACACACTCATGACATCGAAATGATCGTCCTCACCTCTGTTGTGAGCGTTATTTTCACTTTTACAATTATACCAGTATGTTTTCATTGTGAATTAGGTATCGTGTCCTGTTGTCCGAATTCATAAAGGTAATGCAGTATCAATTCTTTGTGTTTTTGCCCCAAATCGTATTCGAAGTGTTTCGATCACATTTTTAGTAAACATCCTCGGTTCTTTACCAAGGAGGAGCGCCATGACATGATGTGTCTCCTCCTTCTCCGGTAAACATATTTGCTTTCCTCTCTACTAATGACAGCATACACGAGGGATAAATGGCTCATTACTAACTGCATCTGTTTCTTTATCATTTTCAATTTATAACGCTGATTTATTGTCAGTTTAACTGTAAATTTGTAAAACTTGATGTCTGGATTACCTTTGTACAGGTATATTAAGTGATCAATTGCTGATGCTATGGTAATTGCATTAACGTTTTTAGAACCTCCGTTATCTACCACGATATATAATTCTTTTTTTAAAATATATCTCTTTCGAACTGTTTTATTTTCATTGCTATAGGTCCTAGTTCAGTTTTAAAAAAATCATCCTCTCTTTATGATCATCGAACTTCAGAATTTACAAAATTTGATTTCATTCAATAAAGACTTCTCTACACACCTTCGTTTATTTTCGTCATTTTGATAGTGTTCAACTGTTCATCAATTTCGTAATTGCATCATCATTAACTGTACATGCAGGAGATATTTTCTTATAATATTGTAATAATACAGGTCGGCTTCTTACGGTTATTAATGAGTTTAGTAATTAGTTAAGTACGATTTCTGAATAAGGTTGTTAATGTAAAATGACATTGTCACAATGTTATTGTTAAATTTTCACTGAATTCCTTTTCCCCTTTGAAAAATATACGGATCCTCATCCGTGTGCCTCGTTCTTCAAAAATGTCTAGTCACTAACATGCCACAATAATAGTCATTAACAAAAAAAATAGTGGGTAAGTTAGCTTCCATGACAGTAAAAATATGACAGTCAACCTTCAGAAGTAACAGTAAAATGCAATTTACTCTTTAATTTGATCTGTAATTATTTTGAAATGGATTATCATTCCAAGAAAATTGGATTATTGACTTCATTTCTTTAATTTTGTGGCTTTCTTAGGAGGCGGGGTGTGATTTATTACGTTAGTACAACCTGTGTGAGAAGAGGTCGGATGGACCTACTGTTGGCCACCATTTTGTACAGGGTGGTCTGGAAAGTCTTGTCACACCCCGCACATAATATAATTTTCTATTTCAACGCTCCGTGGGGTATTAAGGAGAGAGTTTCATATGAACGATACCAGAATATCCATCAGTTTGAAGGATGCCGTTCGGAGAACCTTTGCAACAATCAACAAAGCACGGCTCCGTAAAATATCACACAAGACATGGCGCCGCATCATTTTGTCACGAAAATGATTGTGTTCATACAAACCTTCTCGATGTGTGACAGCGTCAATGAAAGTGAATAAATTGGATCCAGTACATGTGCTTTGTATTGTTCTTCTATCGTTCTCATTACTTTTTTTGGTATGGGGTGACAAGACTTTTGGACCATCCAGTAGTTTAATGCACCCTTTAGAAAAAGAGCTCCCTTTCAAATAATGATTGCAGGCCGTAAGAAAGAATAGATCGGCCGGAACGTGGTCTACAGAAGGAAACATAAAATATTTATAATCCGAACATTTCTTAATTATGATAAAAAGAAAAAGTTTTGTGTGTAAAAAAGAAAAAAAAACTGACTGTCGTAATTATTGTTATTGTCCGATTGTGTGAAGGAAAATGTGAAAAAAAACTTGGGTGGGGATCTTACCTTATTAAAAACATAAAAAAAATGAAAGTGCTGAATGATTTGGTGAATTGAATCAATTTATTTTTTAGAATAGTTTTTGTCACATGGCGAGACTGAAATGAAATTGTTTACTTATTTATTATTATTATTCTTTTTAAAACTGATAATCATTTTACATTTGTTTTTGCACGTTTCGTAACTGCTGAAGAGACTAGTAAGTTTGAAATTTTTTTTTTTATAAGTATACTTTTAAAAACAAAACCAAGTAAATCAGTTTTTTTTGTCTATATTTGTTTGGTCGGAATCGAATTTTTTTCAACGTTATTTCTTGTAGTTTCGGTATCTATTTTTATGACACAAAAAAGTTGTAGTTAGAGCTGATTTTGTTTTTAAATTTTCTCTAGTATTCTATTGGGTAGTTAAAAATCAAGTTACTGAAACGAAAAAAAAAAATACTTATTTACCAAGTTGAGCTGCTGTTATATAATTGATTGATTCCAACGATATTATTACTTCAAGAAAAAATTGTATTACCGAAATTTAATAGAAATTTCTTTAAAAAAAAAAAAATCAACTAATCCATAAAAAAATATACAAATTGTTCAGTACATCTTCCGGTTTCTTAAATTTTTCTTAGCAAATGAAATATAATACGGACAGTCTTCTTATCTTCAATTTTTTTACACAATATATTATACAATCTTTATTTTCCTAGAATCACTTTTAATTTTTGTTTTTCAATATTGCTGCTGTTTGGAAAAAAATATACACGTTAATGAATATTTAAAAATTGTTTTTGTGACAAACTCATTTTCATATTTTTCCTCATAAGAAAACCATAATTTCTTTTCAAAACAAATTCAGCTTTATTTGATTTTTTTAATGCAGTTGTAGAACCCTCCCACCCTATTCACGATATAGATCATGAGTGTTACTGTTATGGTTTCATTTTAATATTGAGTCAAATCAAATCCGTTTTAATTAAGAAAATGTTTTGCAAATAAAATGTTTTTTTTACTGTTAAGAATTTTTCAAAACAATTCTAAAGTTTTTTTATGTAGACATCTTGGGTTTTCTCTAATTTGTAATTAAAAAAATATCTTTCATAAGATTTGTAATTTTGAGTTGGGTTTTCAATTAAGAAAAACGCCTTTTTAAAAACATCTATTTGTAAAGAAAAAAAAAATGCCCTTTTTTTTTTTTTTTTTATCAAAAATTAAAGTAACGAGACAAAATTTAAAAATCATTTTTAATCTCATTTGGTTATTGCATTTTTAAAAGATTTTTTATAATGTAATTTATATGGGGAAAAATGATGTATTATTAAATACATAAATAATTTAACTTTCTCTCCATTTATTTTGTATACTTTCTTTAAAATTAGATACTTTGACCACTTGGAAGATTTGAATGTTTAAATACTTACAATAGTCTTATGTATAATTTATTCATAATAATATTTCACTATTTGTAAAATTCTGTGAAAGTTATGAATTTTCTCTTGAAGTATAATTAGAAAACATGTTCTTGATTTTTTGCCAAATAATTTGTGTAATGCATTTATTCAGATATGTCAAAATATATTTTCTGTATAAAGTGCAAACTGTAATATAAGTTAATAAATGAATCTGTATAGACATGGTTCTTAAACTCACACCTGACCTAAAGTGGCACTTGTACATACAATCCATTGCAAAAGATGCAGAAAAAACGGTTGGCTCCCTGTACTGCTCCAATAAGTACCTGACTCTACATGATATCCTTTACTATTGCGAGAGCAAGATCAAACCTAAAATGGAGAACTTTTATCATATTTGGGTGAGGGGCTACTCCATCTTTACTTTCCAGACTTGATAGTCCAAAAACATCTCCAAGTCTTTGTGGGTGACATTATTTTCCACCCTTCAACCTCACTCTCTCTCTCACTCACACACACACACACACACACACACACACACAAGTGGGATGTGGCAAGCTCTCACTGCTCTATCTCTACTTCCATGGAAAGTGCTTGGACAAACTACATTGCTTGGTTCTGCCAGTTCTAAACTTCACGGCTCTAACTTGCCATGCCACTCACATTAAAGTGAAACACCCACATTCCCTCTATATTTCATTGGTGAGAAGTAAGTTTACCTTGAACAGCTTCTTCCTGCAGCCAACTGCCCTGTGGAACCAACCCCCAGAAGTATGTTTCCTCAGTCTCTACAATCTTAACCTATTCAAATCTATGGTTAACCGTTATCTTCCACTCCTATCTGCATAAACTTTCGTTTAATGTAACCCTCTACCTCGAGTTGACCCCCAGGCTTTGTACAGGATGAACCTTACTGTAAAAAATATATATACACATACACAAAGTTAAATTCTGTTGAGATATTTGTGGCTCATAAAACATTTAACTCAAAATGTACTTAGTAAGCAGTAAATAATTAGAACATTAATCTTTTCTTTTTTTTTTCTCTCTCTCTCTCTTTCAACAGTTTATCTTTCTATTGGCATTGGTTTGTTTATAATGTTGCTAATAGCCTCTGTTAAAACAGCATTAGACTGATTATGGATTGGTAGTGTTTGTAATCATGTTTGCATAGAAAAACAAGTATTTTTGAGAAACTAACTGCAAACTTCTGATGCAAAAGAAAACTGCTTAGATAATCTGTAAATACATTTTTGCAGCTTTGATGGCTTTAATTGGATCCATAAGTTATTGCAAATGTTGGCATTTGGTTATATTTTGCAACTTATAATCTATGTCAGTGTCAACATCTCTACATTCTGTTTATCTGTGTAATACAGAGTACAATAGATGGCTTGCTCTTCAGTTCTGTTAACAATGCAAATTCATTAAAAAATGATAGTACAACAAATTTACAATAAAAGATAAATCTCTACATTTCAACAAAGGTCAACAACATACACTATTTAGAAAAAAAAGGCTTGAAAGAGTTAATAAAATGGTAAGATTCTAAAATGGAGTCCTTCCCATACTTGTGCACAAAATTATGATGAAGATTTATATTTGTGATTAAATTAGCAAACCTGTTGGTGAATTTCTTTCTGAATACTTACTCACAAATGTCTTCTTATTGATGAA